TTCTTCTACCAGGTCACGTGGCCGCGCTTGTCTAGGCCTCTTGCCAAGCCAGCAAGGGCGTGGAAGGGTTGCGAGAATCATTGGTCATCGGCCCTTGAGAATGAAGAGCGCCCGCTGCACTTCCTCCACATGTGCGGATCCTAGCGCGTTTTGAGGCTAGAAGCGCTTGCAGTGAGCGTTTTTCTTCCACCAAGTCACGTGGCTACGCTTGTCTAGGCATCTTGCCAAGCCAGCAAGGGCGTGGAAGGGTTGCGAGCATCATTAGTCATCGGCCCTTGAGAATGAAGAGCGCCCGCTGCACTTCCTCCACATGTGCGGATCCTTGCGCGTTTTGAGGCTAGAAGTGCTCGTTCTGAGCGTTTTTCTTCCACCAAGCCACGTGGCTGCGCTTGTCTATGTCTCTTGCCAAGCCAGCAAGGGCGTGGAAGTGTTGCGAGCATCATTGGTCATCGGCCTTTGAGAATGAAGAGCGCCCGCTGCACTTCCTCCACATGTGCAGATCCTAGCGCGTTTTGAGGCTAGAAGCGCTCGCAGTGAGCGTTTTCTTCCACCAAGTCACGTGGTTGCGCTTGTCTATGCCTCTTGCCAAGCCAGCAAGGGCGTGGAAGGGTTGCGAGCATCATTGGTCATCGGCCCTTGAGAATGAAGAGCGCCCGCTGCACTTCCTCCACATGTGCGGATCCTAGCGCGCTTTGAGGCTAGAAGCGCTCGTAGTGAGCGTTTTTCTTCCACCAGGTCACGTGGCTGTGCTTGTCTAGGCCTCTTGCCAAGCGAGCAAGGGCGTGGAAGGGTTTCGAGCATCATTGGTCATCGGCCCTTGAGAATGAAGAGCGCCCGCTGCACTTACTGCACATGTGCGGATCCTAGCGAGTTTTGAGGCTAGAAGCGCTCGTTCTGAGCATTTTTCTTCTACCAGGTCACGTGGCTGCGCTTGTCTAGGCCTCTTGCCAAGCCAGCAAGGGCGTGGAAGGGTTGCGATCATCATTGGTCATCGGCCCTTGAGAATGAAGAGCGCCCGCTGCACTTCCTCCACATGTGCGGATCCTAGCGCGTTTTGAGGCTAGAAGCGCCTGTTCTGAGCGTTTTTCTTCTACCAGGTTACGTGGCTGCGCTTGTCTAGGCCTCTTGCCAAGCCAGCAAGGGCGTGGAAGGGTTGCAAGCATCATTGGTCATCGGCCCTTGAGAATGAAGAGCGCCCGCTGCACTTCCTCCACATGTGCGGATCCTAGCGCGTTTTGAGGCTAGAAGCGCTTGTTCTGAGCGTTTTTCTTCCACCAGGTCACGTGGCTGCGCTTGTCTAGGCCTCTTGCCAAGCCAGCAAGGGCGTGGAAGGGTTGCGAGCATCATTGGTCATTGGCCCTTGAGAATGAAGAGCGCCCGCTGCACTTCCTCCACATGTGCGGATCCTAGCGCGTTTTGAGGCTAGAAGCGCTCGTTCTGAGCGTTTTTCTTCTACCAGGTCACGTGGCTGCGCTTTTCTAGGCCTCTTGCCAAGCCAGCAAGGGCGTGGAACGGTTGCGAGCATCATTGGTCATCGGCCCTTGAGAATGAAAAGCGCCCGCTGCACTTCCTCCACATGTGCAGATCCTAGCGCGTTTTGAGGCTAGAAGCGCACGCAGTGAGCGTTTTTCTTCCACCAGGTCACGTGGCTGCGCTTGTCTATGCCTCTTGCCAAGCCAGCAAGGGCGTGGGAGGGTTGCGAGCATCATTGGTCATCGGCCCTTGAGAATGAAGAGCGCCCGCTGCACTTCCTCCACATGTGCGGATCCTAGCGCGTTTTGAGGCTAGAAGCGCTCGAAGTGAGCGTTTTTCTTCTACCAGGTCACGTGGCTGCACTTGTCTAGGCCTTTTGCCAAGCCAGCAAGGGCGTGGAAGGGTTGCGAGCATCATAGGTCATCGGCCCTTGAGAATGAAAAGCGCCCGCTGCACTTCCTCCACATGTACGGATCCTAGCGCGTTTTGAGGCTAGAAGCGCTCGCAGTGAGCGTTTTTCTTCCACCAGGTCACGTGGCTGCGCTTGTCTAGGCCTCTTGCCAAGCCAGCAAGGGCATGGAAGGGTTGCGAGCATCGTTGGTCATCGGCCCTTGAGAATGAAGAGTGTCCGCTGCACTTGCTCCACATGTACTGATCCTTGCGCGTTTTGAGGCTAGAAGCACTCGCAGTGAGCGTTTTTCTTCCACCAGGTCACGTGGCTGCGCTTTTCTAGGCCTCTTGCCAAGCCAGCAAGGGCATGGAAGGGTTGCGAGCATCATTGGTCATCGGCCCTTGAGAATGAAAAGCGCCCGCTGCACTTCCTCCACATCTGCGGATCCTAGCGCGTTTTGAGGCTAGAAGCGCTCGTTCTGAGCGTTTTTCTTCTACCACGTCACGTGGCTGCGCTTGTCTAGGCCTCTTGCCAAGCCAGCAAGGGCGTGGAAGGGTTGCGAGCATCATTGGTCATCGGCCCTTGAGAATGAAGAGCGGCCGCTGCACTTTCTGCACATGTGCGGATCCTAGCGCGTTTTGAGGCTAGAAGCGCTCGCAGTGAGCATTTTTCTTCTACCAGGTCACGTGGCTGCGCTTGTCTAGGCCTTTTATCAAGCCAGCAAGAGCATGGAGGGGTTGCGAGCATCATTGGTCATCGGCCCTTGAGAATGAAGAGCACCCGCTGCACTTCCTGCACATGTGCGGATTCTAGCGCGTTTTGAGGCTAGAAGCGCTCGTTCTGAGCGTTTTTCTTCTACCAGGTCACGCGGCTGCGCTTGTCTAGGCCTCTTGCCAAGCCAGCAAGGGCGTGGAAGGGTTGCGAGCATCATTGGTCATTGGCCCTTGAGAATGAAGAGCACCCGCTGCACTTCCTCCACATGTGCAGATCCTAGCGCGTTTTGAGGCTAGAAGCGCTCGCAGTGAGCGTTTTTCTTCTACCAGGTCACATGGCTGCGCTTGTCTAGGCCTCTTGCCAAGCCAGCAAGGGCGTGGAAGGGTTGCGAGCATCATTGGTCATCGGCCCTTGAGAATGAAGAGCGCCCGCTGCACTTCCTCCACATTTGCGGATCCTAACGCGTTTGCTGACGTGGCGATGTTGATGTGAGGTGATTTGGAGTGATGTGCTGCAATGTGGTGGGATGGGATTGATGCGATTGTATGAGGAGCGTGCAGAGCAGAAATAGGACACAGTGCCCTTGGCGCCACCACACCAACATCGTCGCCCTCCTTCGTCCCTTCGTCTTCCACCTCTTCCCTCCCATCTTCCCTCCCCTCTTCCTTCCCAGCTCCCCTCCCCGCTTTCCACCTCGCCGCTTCCATTCTCCCCGCATCCTTCCCTTTCCTTCGTCTTCTTCTGCTACGCACCCACTTCTCTTCAGATCCGCCCTGACATCACATGAGTCATCCCTACCATGCTCCTTTTTCCGCTCGAGCCTCAGCAGCTCTTCCCATGCAGCACGGGCGTTGTATCAAGGCACTGAGGCGGAGCAAGGGAGCGTGCAGCAGTGCGCCCCAGTGCCCATCCCCTCCTATCGCACTCCGCGTCGCCTTCGCTACCTCACACCGCCGCCCACTCTTCCCCTCATATCGCCCGTCGTGTCGTCTTCGACCATCCACTGCCGACCATCCACTGCCGACCATCCACCGCCGACCACGCTCATTGCCCTCTCGTCACCTACCCCATCAATTACCCGTCCATACCCCCTACTTATACTCTGCCGCCTCCCTCATGCTCCCTCCCACGTTTCCCTACCTCCCTATGTCTCATGCAGCAAACATCTCCCTCGCCTCATGACCCTGCACTTCATCCGTGCCTCTATTCTACCTTACCTCCCTTCCGTTCCCCATCCACACATCTAATGTTCCACACCTTATCGCTCCCCGCTTCCTCTGTTTTTCCCTTCATCCCTTCCCCACATCCTCTGTTCCACTGTTACCCTTCCTAAATTCATCCCTTCACCCCTTCATCCCTTCATCCCTTCATCCCTTCATCCCTTCACCCCTTCATCCCTTCATCCCTTCATCCCTTCATCCCTTCATCCCTTCACCCCTTCATCCCTTCATCCCTTCATCCCTTCACCCTTTCATCCCTTCATCCCTTCATCCCTTCATCCCTTCACCCCTTCATCCCTTCATCCCTTACTCCCTTCACCCCTTCATCCCTTCATCCCTTCATCCCTTCATCCCTTTATCCCTTCATCCCTTCAGCCCTTTCCCCTCTTCCTCTGTTCCCCCATCATCCTTTCCCCACTTACTATGTTTTTCCCTTCATCCTTCATTTCCTTCCTTTGTTTCACCCCTCACAACGGTACCTCCCATGCATAGTACCCAGCTTCAACCTTTCACCCCGTTCACTGTTCCTCACTTCATCCCTTCTTCCATTCTCTGGTTTTCCCCTTCATCCCATCATCCCATCCTCTGTTCCTCCCTTCAGCTCTCATCCTTGCTTCCTATACTCCTCTCTTCAGAGGAATCCCCCCTACTGCTGTTCCACCATTCATCCCGTCCTCTGTTCCTGTGCATCCCCTCCCCTCTCCCACTGGTTTCACCTTCAAACCTTACCCACCCTGTTGGATGAATGCAGATGCTGCAACCTACTGTTCACCAGAAAACCACAATGCAAGAACCCACGTTCCACTCTGTGCACCATGCACTGCAGTAGTAGGGTAGGGGGTGGTGTTGCTGATAATGGTGGATGCTTAGTACAACATTGTACACCAGTAAATCCAATTCATCTAATGTACAGCAGTCAATCCAATTTATCTATTGTACACCAGTAAATCCAATTTATCTATTGTACACCAGTAAATCCAATTCATCTATTGTACACCAGTAAATCCAATTTATCTATCCACGGGCGCATAGCCAAGTCTTGGAAAAAAAATCCGAGAGTGAAGAGTAAAACACTCAGAGAGTAGACATGTAGACTGTTAAGGTTGCTGGCGACCTAGGAGCACAGGTAACCTGGTATTGTGCACGCCGGTGTGGGGCCATTAGCATGCATTACAACGTGGAACACATCGTAACCTTGAGCTTTAATAAAAGGAAATGCGTTGTCGGATATGGAGGGGACGGCCACGAGATTCCAGGATATCGGAGTGGCAGGCGGTGCAGTGCAGGTGTAAGTGGGCACCGATGTCAAGCATCTGAGAGGGTTGAGCCAGGATCTGCAACATGAAAGGGTGAGAAATGGAGGGGATAGGGCAGCACAGAGAAAGGATCGGATGTAAAATTGTTCAAGTCTAAAAGGGCATGGGAAGGGTAGTGGGGAGTGAAAGGGGGCGAAGTGTGGGGACAAGGTCGCTGGCTAACAGGGAGGATAGACGTCAGAATGGGCACGAAGGGGGGGGGGGGGGGGGGGGGGGGGGGGAGGGGTGATCTGACTGGAAAAGGTAACAATAACAGCAACATAAACATTGAACAATGGTAACATCAAGGGCGGGTGCGAGTGGCGATTAGGAAAGAAGGCAGTAAGCCTTCTCCCCTGCGCATGGCCACTATGCCTTGCTCCAGGGGGGCGGGATGGTGGACAGACAGGAGGGGCGGACAGACAGGAGGGGCGTGGGGAATATGCAAATTCAGTCAGGCGCCTCAAAACTCGCATGCTGGGGGGAGGAACGGAAGATGGCAGGTATTGAGAAACGGTAATGGAAGGATGGAAGAAAGTGATGGAGGAAGAGGGGGAAGGGAGCAGGAAGGTAGGGAGGACAGGTGGAAGGGCGGCGGGAGGGGAAACGGGAGAGGCAGCGCGAGGGTCTGAGAGAGGGGCAGGCGCTGCCAGAGGAGCAACGAAAGATGCGGTAGTTTCCACGTGTGCAGGCGTCAGGAAAAATGCAGGTGGAGTCGACGTACGCTGAATTCGAGTGCACTGGAGTGCTTGGAGTGGAGATGGGGTGGGGTGACAAGCTGCAAGGGGGTGGTGTGATGAGCTGAGGTAGGTGAGGTGCTGATGATGTAATTGGCTCATGGGCTTACGGGAGGTGGGTGGCGTGATGGGCAGTGTGCGATTGATAGTGTGCTGAAAGCATTCACAGCTTGGGAGCTGAGATCTGAACATTTTTCGTTAATTATCCTTTCCTTCTTTATCCTTTAGTGTCCCTCTTACAGGTGGAGCATTTGAAAAGTGAGTTGGCTGTTGCTACGACCCAGGCGGAGACGCTCAAGGCAGATTGTGAGGGGCTGCGAAGGGCTTTGAGCGAGCACGAGAAAACATCCGCTGCCACCATTGCTGCTGCTGATGAGAACGAACATCGCTTGCGAGTGAGTGTTCTCCTGCTGCCTCTCGTTCCTTCTTCGTGTCCCTTGCATTCCCACCAACCCCAAAAGCCACTTCCCTCTTGTATCATCTGTGTCCTCTTTTCTGTATGCTCTTGGCTGCAAAAGGTTGCATTTTTTAATCTCGATAATTACGCCGTGGGCCGTTTCCACGGTGTTTCTCTCTTTTATATGCATTTTTTTATGCCTCCGACCTGCTTCCATTTGAAGAGGAAGAGTTGGAGAACCTGCAGAGGATGAACAACGAGCTTACTGAGGAAAGGAACGTCTGCATGACATAGAAGCCCCTTTCCTCAATAAGCTCGTTGTTCATCCTCTGCAGGTTCTCCAACTCCTCCTGCTCCAATGGAAGCAGGTCGGAGGCATAAAAAAATGCACATAAAGAAGAGAAGCACTATGGAAACGGCCCACGGCACAATTATCCAAATGAAGAAATGCAACTTCTTGCAGCCAAGAGCATACAGAGAAAAGACACAGATGGTGCAAGAGGAAAGTGGCTTTTGGGGCTGGTGGGAGTGCAAGGGACACGAGAAGAAGCGAAAGGCAGCAGAAGAACACTCACTCGCAAGCGATGTTCGTTCTCAGCAGCAGCAGCAATGGCGGCGACGGATGTTTTCTCGTGCTCGCTCAAAGCCCTTCGCAGCCTCTCACAGTCTACCTTGAGCGTCTTCGCCTGAGTCGTGGCAACAGCCAACTCACTTTCCAGCTGCTCCGTGAGCATAGACAACCCCAAACCCTTGTCACTCCAGCATGCCGCTCTCACCTGCAGTCGCTCCACAACTCTTTTGAGTGCAGCGACCTTCACTTCCGCCACCATTCTCCTCCGGTCCTCTGCCGCAACAACTGTCTGCTTGAGACGACCCTCTTTGTGCGCAAGACATCATGTATCTCTGCAGTCTAGAGGTGCATGGATGGCGGTGGATTTGGAAAGTGAAGGGACAGCACAAGAATGGACAGCACAAGAATGGATGAAATACTCTTTGTTAAGAGATGCCTTGCAACACCTGTATTTCTCGCCAAAATATTAGAAAATCAAGGTTTTAGCCAAGTGGGAGGAGCAGGCGGGGGCAGGAGTGGGGGAGGTAGACAGAGAGGGAGACGGGGATTGAGGGAGAGAGACAATAGGGCCCTGCAAGGCATCCTGAGGATACCGAGTAGCTCGCCCTCCTCGCCCAACCAGGTAGGCATGAGCCAAACCCGAACACGAGCCTGTTTGGGTCAAACACAAGATACACACCATTTGGGGCCGAACCGAACATGAGTGACCTGACTGCTCTGCTAATTGCTAAGATCCCTGGATCTGAGGCAATTAGAGCGACACGACAGCTGCCATGATTTCTCACATTCACTGCCGCCATTCTCTTATTGTCTTCCATGTCCTTTTATCTCGCTGCCCGCTCTGTCCATGCCCTCTTTTCCATTGATTCATTCTGTTTGCACTGGCACGAGCTTTCGTTCCTTCCATTCCTTCATGGGCAACTGGTCGGGTCAACCCGACCCGACATAAATGGGAGCACCCCGAGCCGGAAAGCCTACTTACCTGACTGCTGCCTGGATGCGAGGCAAGTGGCACGACACCCAGCACGCCCGTCCGCACAGCGCGCTGACAGAGATTGTTGAATTACATGGAGGAGATTACTCACCTTCTCGCGGATTGCTGTCAGCAGCTTCATCCGATCCTTCTTGTCCGCGCAGTCGAAGCCTGAAAGGTGCAAAGGGAATTCAGTGGAAGTGGAATGACATGAAATTAAACTTGTTTTCCATAGCCCCCCCTTACACCCCCTCGAACTATCTCGTCTTGGATTAGGAAAAAGGGCAGATTCAGGCTTCGGTTGGAGCGTACCTCGCAGGATCTCGGCCAGCGTGGTGCGAATGATGGCGCGCGCCTCGTGAATGTCCGCCATCTGCATGCAGGCCGTGCTCCTCGAGCCACGCTTTCACAACCTCCAAGTCCAACTCTGTCAGCAGGGGAGGCACGGAACAAGGCAAAAGATGGATCGTCCAGACGAAAGTGCAACGGGCGGGAAAAAGGGTTCACGATTCAAAGGCACAAGCCTTTTCGAAATTTGTCTGAGCGGGTGCGAGCTGGAATGATAGAGCTATGAAAAGTGCCTCCTCACCGCATCCTAAAATAGTAATTCTTACGTACTCTTCCATTGATCCATTTGCAGATTCAGTAGTATAGGCGTGCGATCCGCGAGTCTGGAGGAAGCGAGGGGTTGCTCCGGTGGGATCTAGCTATGAGAACCTTTCTCCGTGGGTTTTGAAAAGGGCATGGTAAGGAGACCCTCTTGAGCCATGGGAGTTAACTCGCCTAGCTGGCTGGGTGAAAGGAAATCGGGCTGGCAGGGTGAAGCGAGATCCAGCTAGCAGGGTGAAGGGAAATTCGAGGTTCCCCAGTGTGGTGTGGCGGTGCATGAAAACTTCTGGCATTTCCGTTGGCCGTGACACGGAGACGCTCTGATCTGACAATGAAATTGATGGGAGGGGGGAATCTGTACTCGATGCAAGCAACCCTGGTGTTAAAATTTCGCTTCGAGTGTTCCTTCCTCGTTTTCCCGTAAGGACCATTATCTGTCACGAAATCTCTCTTTCCCGCCGAGCAAGAGGAAAGGAGTACTACTCTTAACCGCTTTCAACCGTGAACAAATTCGTGGCTCTCACTGAGCTGGGTTGGATGGAAATGTTGCACCCCAGACTCTCCGTACCGCACGATTTGCTTGTCCGCTCACACCATATCACACCAGCACCAGGGCAGAGGCGACCAAGGCCTGAAAGCGGTCATCCTTGCTCCACCACCATCGCATCACGGCAGCCGGGGAGCTGTGGCAGAGGAGAACGCATGCGCTTGTGGGGTCGTTAACACTGAGAGAACGGCGAGCGCGAGTGATCGGAGATGCACGAGCCGATCATTCGATCTGGACTGTTTCGTTTTCTATGATCGACGGCACAGAGTCTGAAGTGAGGGGGAAATCCGTGCTAATCTGGGCAGAAGCAATCAGAACGATCAGTTCAACCGTCACGACGGTGCCGCGGCGATGATACGCCTGACGACTTCCCCCGTCGTCGTATAGATGGCGAGCCTTGCCTTCCGATCCCCTAACGCCCGTAATCGCGCGATAACCGCCGCTCGCAGCGAAAGACTCGAACTTTTCCGCCTCGCATCTCTTCGCGAACACCTCGCACCTGCGCCAGCAGCAGCCCTCGCATCGTCGCACGGGTCGCCATCCGCCAATTCGTCGCGCGCTAACGGTTCCCCAGATTCGCCTTCGCGCCGCCATTCCAGCGCGTCCCATCCTCCCCCGCCGTCATTCTTCCCCAGCGCGTCTCACCATAACCATCCCAGCGATTCCGGTAGTCCCGCGTCGATCCGATCAGTTGTCATTCGCTCGTCACCGCAGCCTGCGCCGACTAGCAGCGGGCATCATCATTACTACAGCAGCCGCGCTCTTGTTCCTTGGCCTAGTCATAGATCCGTGCTCCCCGCTTCGTCCGCTCTGATTTCCCGGCTTCTTCACTCTTCTCGAGCCGTTACGGCCGTTGGATCGGAGCCGCCGGTTGCCGGGGAGAGATCTGGGCTGTCGAGCGAGAGAGCGGCTGGCGGGGAGGAGAGTGTGGGGGATTTGCGTGTGAGCTATGGCGGGACTGCGGAAGCAGAGGGGGAGGAGGCGGAAAGAAGAGGGAATATAAATGACGGAAGGGAGGAGGGACGGGGAAGGGTTTGGAATGAGGTTCGGGAAGAGGGTCGGAAAGCTGAGGCGCAGGGAGGGGTGGCTTTAGCGGACGGGGAGAAGGCGGAATTGCGGACGAGACAGCGGCGGGTTCGAATGCGGGAGGAGCCAGGCGGGGAGTGGGCGGCAGGGGGAGGGACGGCGGAAGAAGGAGGATCAAGAGAGGACGAGGACGAGGACGATATGAGCGGGTACGGAGTGGCGTCGGCGGAGGATCTGCGCAACGCGAAGCAGATCGCGGACGCGATTCTCAGCGGGCGCTTCTTCGCGGGCATGAGCCGCGGGAAACGGCACTGGGCGGGGGACGACGCGGGGGAGAGTGGCGGAGAGGATGGGGGAGTGGGGGAGCGCGGGGGCGGACGGAAGGAGAGGCGCGGGGACGGGCGCGGGGAGGGGCGCGGGGAGGTGGGGGGAGACGACGAGGAGGAAGAAGAGGAATGGCGGAGGAGTTTCCGCGAGAGGGGATGGCGGCCGGGGTTCAGGGGTTTGGGGGACTGGTTGGGGGAGGCGGGCGGGGCGCAGGCGGAGGCGGAGGGGCAGATACCGGTGGAGAAGCAGCGGTTTGCGCGCGTGGCGCTGGTGGGCGCGCCGAACGCGGGGAAGTCCGCCCTGATGAACCGCCTGGTGGGGGGAGATGAGAGAGAGAGAGAGAGGGGGGTTAGAGAGGGAGGGAAGGGTGAGGAGGGAAAGCGAGCAAAATGGGAGGGTGAGTGAAGATGAGGGGATATGTGGCAGAGGGGGGAGGGGGATGGGGGGGTGCAGGAAAGAGGAAGATTGCAGGCAGGAGCAGTATAAGTGAGGTTGAAGGAGAGACTGGGAGTGCCTTCCGAGTTTGCTGTCACACTCTTTCACCACTCCTCTTTTTCACCTTTTCATCCATCCCTCACTCTCGCGCCTCCCCCGTCTCACTCCTCTTACTTCTTTCTTCTGCCACATCGGCCCCCCCTCCTCTCGCTTTCCCCTCCTTTCATGGACGGACCTGCTTGTCCTTCTCCTCCCCACACCCTCTGTCCCTCACCCCACCCCCTGCTCGCACTTCCGTTTCATCTCCCTGTTGCCATACATGCAGGTGGGCATGAAAGTCTCAGCGGTATCGCGCAAGACCAACACGACGCAGAGGGAGGTGGTGGGCATTCGCACCACCGGCCCCACACAGCTGGTGAGCTTCGTTCTTTTCACGCGCCTTAGTACTGCTGGTGAGCAGGGCGCAGCAGGTGGTGAGCAAGCACCTCGAGCCATGCAGCCTGACTTTTGAGAATTCTCAAAAGTCACACGAATACAGCCTGTACTGCTGCGCAGCAGTGAGGGCTGCTGCTGCTGATTCGCTCCGGTGAGAGTGCACTCATCTGTGCAATCGCTGCCTCATCTGTGCGCAGCAGCAGGTTGCCCTAGCCGGAGCTCGCTGTGACCCTCACCTCACAGCATCGGTGAGGGTCGCTGCTGCGATGTACTGGAAGGGTCACAGCGAGTTCGCACTCGTACGTTGACCCTCGTGAATCAAACTCACTGGGACGTGCTGTGCCTGAGCTCGCTGTGACCGTCACAGCGACCATGTCGCTGTGAGTCTTACAAGTGACCTCAAGCTGCATGATGCTTGCTCGCTTCAAGCTGCAGTGCCGTGCCGCACATGCTGACTAACATCAGAGTGATTGAGTCTGCTGCACGTGAGTCGTTTGTATTCAGACTCACGTCTGCATGCACCCCTCCCCTCCCTCCCTCATTCTCTCCTCTCCGTCCCCCTCCCCCACCCCCTCCCTTCTTCCCCCCCCCCCCCCTCCTCCCTTCTTGTTTTCCCGCCTCTCCCTCGCCCCCTCCATCCCCCCACCTTCGCCGCCTCCCCGCGTCCCCTTGCTCCCATCCCCCTCTCCCTCTCCCCCCCCCCACAGGTGTTTCACGACACGCCAGGGCTGACAGTAGCGCTGCCATCGCAGCCGCTGTCAGCATGAGCTCTGATGAACCGACTCATCCCCGTTTGCAGTCTGTGTGTGCGCTGCGCTCTCACTCTCGCCCACCCCTTCCAACCCTTCCCTCCCCTCCTCCCCCCCCCCCCCAGGTGTTTCACGACACGCCAGGGCTGACAGTAGCACTGCCATCGCAGCCGCTGTCAGCATCGCAGCGCCAGGGGTCTCTCCTCGCGTCCTCCGCTGCTCTGCACTGCAATGTTGTGGCGCTCGTCATTGACGCCGACCGGCAGATCAGGAGGTGCGTGCATGACGAGGGGGTTCGGTAAGGGGAGGGGGGCATGGGGAGAAACGGGCAAGTGGGCAGGGGAGAGGGGAGTGGGCGCGGGCTGGCGGGGTGGTGGGGTTGCGCTCGTCATTGGCTGGCAACGACGCCTGGATTAGGAAGTGAGTGAGCGGGGGGGGGGAGTGGCAGGCAAGGGACAGGAGGCAGAGCGGAAGGGTTCAAGGGAGTAGGGATTTGGTGCCACGTGGGGGCGCTCTTGATAGTTTTGAGGCGCCTCAAAGCAGGCAAGGGACAGGAGGCAGGGCGCAGGGGTTGAAGGGAGTAGGGATCTGGTGCCACGTGGGGGCGCTCGTGATAGACGCTGACTGGGCAAAATAGGCGGTGCCGCGGTGAGTGAAGAGGGGGTGGGGGAGGGGGGCATGGGGGGGCAGGGGGGCATGGGGAGGCAGGGGGGCATGGGGAGAAAGTTTCAAGAAGGCACTGGGGAGAATGGGGTTATGTCAGCTCTCTGTCTTCCTCACTCACAATCGATCCCTCCTCCCCACCCCACATATCCCTCTTTCTCCATCCCGTTTTCTCCCTCTCCATCCCCTCTCACCCCACTTAACCGCACTCCACACCTGCAGGCCGGACCCGCGGGTGCGGCGGCTGGTGGGAATGGTGGGGGCGGAGCGGAGGGAGGGGCAGCAGCGCATAGCGGTGTTGAACAAGGTTGATCTGGTGAAGGACAAGCGCCTGCTGCTGCCCCTCTCACAGGAGCTCAGCACCTTCCATTCCATTGAAAGGTGGGGGGAGTGTGGGGGGAGAGGTGGGAGGGGAGTGGGAGCAGTGGGTGCAGGGGGGGGGGGCATGTGAGAAGTGGGGGTTTGTGAAGAGTGGGACATGGTGTAGTGCTTTTATGGATGCATGAGGCAGTGCAGTAGTGACATAACTTCTTGTTTATGTCGCACCTCATTCAACCTGTCACATGCCATGTCACATCACAATCATGTGCAACCTTTATTTGAATCTGCTCATGCCTTCATCCTGCCTACGTCCTATGTATTCTCGGCTTCATAGTGCCATCCGTGCCCTCAACCATCATTATTCAACAGCAACCCACCCCACCCCACCCCACCCCACCCCACCCCACCCCACCCCACCGCACCCCGTGCAGGGTGTTCATGGTGTCAGCGCTACAGGACAAGGGCGTCAACCTGTTGGAGGAGTATCTCTTTGACCATGTGCGTGCTGCTCCCTGCCCTGCCCTGCTCCCACCTCTCACTCACGCACGGGGGTGACGTTTCATTTCTGGGGTCTATGCCATGTCTGGTGCCCATGCCATACCATGGGGGTCATGCCATACCATGGGGGTCATGCCATACCATGGGGGTCATGCCATACCGTGGGGGTCATGCCATACCATGGGGGTCATGCCATACCATGGGTGTCATGCCATACCATGGGTGTCATGCCATACCATGGGTGTCATGCCATACCAAGGGTTGCGGCTTTTGTCATGAGTGCCTTTTCATCCCATGGTTTATTTGTCAAGTGTTTTGAGTTAGTTTTTTTACCACTTTCCCTTCCTCCTTCCACTGTTCGGTCTCTGTTCACTTGCATCTTCACCTGTGCTATTTCCCAGTAACCCCTCATGCATGCAACAGAATGTAGTTCTCAGCTGTCTCCCCTCACGCATGCACTCACCTTAACCGACCCCTATCATTGGTCTCACTCATTTGCTCCACTAATCCTCTGTGATCCCCCATCATTCCTCCACACTCCCATGCTCCCCCTCCACCTCTGGCCATCCTCTGTCTTCTGTCCTGCTACACTCACGGCATGCCGTACAAGCTCTGTGAGAGGACGACCGTCAACTCTCGGCTCTTGAGGCCTTTCAAATGCTCTTCCTTCCCCTCCCAAACCATCCGTCCTTTTTCTGAGCCGACTCACATCTTTCCCTCCTGTCGTCTGTCCTCCGTCCTCCTGTCACACACACACCAGGCGGTGCAGGCGGCATGGGAGGAGGACCCTCGCCTGCGCACAGACCAGTCCCCAGAGCAGCTGGCCATGCAGATCGTGAGGGAGCTGCTGCTGCACCGCATGCACCAGGTGGGCTGGCTTGGGCTGTGTGGCTTGCTCGTTACAGGCAGTGGATGGAGTGCATGTGAGGCATTTCAAAGGCCAGGGCTTGCACAGCTGGCCATGCAGATCGTGAGGGAGCTGCTGCTGCACCGCATGCACCAGGTGGGCTGGGCTGTGCGCGGCTTGCTTGCTTGCTTGCTCGTTACAGCCAGTAAAGTGTATGTGAGGCGTCCCATCGTTTGAGACGTCCCCAAACACTCCTTATCTACCCTTGCTCTTCATGCTCTCCTTGCTCTTCTCTCTCTCTCTCCCTCCTCCCTCTCTCCCTCTCCCATCCCCACAGGAGGTGCCCTATGCCATAGAGCACCGCCACGTGTCGTGCTCTGTGCTCAGGGACGGGTCGCTGCGCATAGAGCAGCTGCTGCTCGTGCACTCCAATGCACAGCGGGCCATGCTCGTTGGCAAGGCCGGGCAGGTCGTGCGGTAAGTCCCGCTATGGTATGGTGTGGTGTAGGCATAATGTGGTGTGTTTATTCATGCTATTGTTGTACCGTATGTGAGATTTGAGCTTTGTTGGTGTCTCTTGTCCTTCTGTCATGCCTACTGCTGTATTCCTCTGTGCATATGAGCTGCTGCTCTTTTCAATGTCTTCAGCGTCTTCCTGCTTTCCTGTTGTGCTGGTGATGCAGTTCCATAGGCAGGGAGGCACGGTATCAGCTTCAGAATATCCTAGGCGGTCCCGTTCATCTCATCTTGCAAGTGAGAGTGGACCGCAAATGATAAAATCCGGCACGTCTTACTATTTGTTGCCCCTTAGGCTCTCACGGCCTTCTGCAATTCCTGTAACAGGCGAATTTTCTCTGTTTCGCCAAGGGTTCTATCTTCACCTCGCTATTATGAATGCATACTGAAGTTGACCCGTTTCATTAGTTATTTTCCTGTAATCGCAGGGACGGATTATGGATATAACTTACTTAATGTTCCGTTATACATGCTCGTCGAATTAGCAAGAATCAAACCACAAACGAATCACTCCGCCAGTGCAGTCGGTTTCCCGTACAATCCATGACAAATTCGCTTTCCCCACTTCCGCTCCCGCAAGATCCAGCCTTCCCGATGAGAGTTTTGCTCAATATTACGGAATCGCGCTTCGTTTTATTTTCGCCACGTGGCGTGCCTACGATCGCGCAAACCGCGATCTGTTTTATTTTCCCCACAAATTTCAAGGGAATTTCAGTTTGGGAAAGTCTATCCCAGCTCCCGACTTTCAGTTTTTTCTCATATTTAGCCCTATGTTTACTCAAAAAGCACCACTTTTCTTTATTTCTCTCACGCGAGGCCCAAAGTATGTTCAAAACTGGTCCTGCGGGGCGAAGTTTTCGACACGTGTTCTTTTGTTACCAGCTAACGCACTTCTACTCTGAACTAACCGTTTGTCAGGGCAATTTTCGCGCCGGAAAAGTTTTTACGGGACAAAAAAACATAAAACCCCTAAAGGACCATTACACATTTTCGGGAGGGAGCAACCCTAAACACGGGACCTGCTAGGTGTTTAGGGTTGATCCCTCCCGCGAATGTGTCCTGGTTCTCTAGGGGTTTTATTTTTTTTGCCCCCCTCTAAATTTTCCATGCGTGGAAGTTCGTCAGATGGTGTAACAAGAGGACACGTGTCGAAAAAATCGCCCCGCAGGACCACTTTTGAACATACTTTGGGCCTCGCGTGAGAGAAATTCTAGAAAGTGGTGCTTTTTGAGTAAACCTAGGGCTGAATATGAGAGAAATCTGAAAGTCAGGAGCGGGGATATACTTTCCCTTTTAGTTAAGTTCAGAGGGTCACATGTACTGCGCTGCCCGCGGGCAAAAATAAAACCCAGCTGGGCCTGGCATGCGTTCGGGATGCATCAACCCTAAAAACATGGAGGCAAGGTCTTTAGGGTTGATGCCTCCCTAACACATGCCAGGCCAAATGGGTTTTATTTTTGCCCGGGGGCAGCTCAGTTCATGCGATCCACTAAACTTAACATGAAAATTGTGGTAACAATAAAACAGATCGCGGCTTGCGCGATCGTAGGCACGCCACGTGGCGATAATAAAACAAAGTGCGCTTCCGCGGATTTGAGCAAAAGTCTCCATTCCCGATAGTTATTCCCGTGCGTGACATCTCGTCACGTCACACCGTTATCGCTGCTCGTCGTCGTCGCTCCCTGTCCATCTCCAGGATCGACCAGCCTCGTCTGTTGTAGGTCCGAACTAGCAATGGCCGACGCCGCGCCCCAGGCGACATTTCAGCTCGGCGAAATTACCGCGGACAAACTAGCAGAGTACAACGGCTCAGACTCTTCAAAGCCCATTCTCGTGTCGCTGAAGCACGTAATCTACGACGTCACGTCAGCGAGCTCCTTCTACGGTCCCGATGGGCCGTACTCGATCTTCGCCGGCAGGGACGCGAGCCGGTCGCTCGCGACCATGACGATGGATGAGGTCGGAGGGTCGCTGGATGGGTTGACGGAGAAGCAGCTCAAGACGCTTGACGACTGGGTGGAGACTTTTGCACGGAAGTACCCCGTTGTTGGAACGCTCGTTTGAAGCTGCGAGCAAGGAGGTGTGTTTTGAGGCGCCTCGAGATACAGGAGGCTTGACGAGACGACTGGGTGGAGACGTTTGCACGCAAGTACCCCCTTGTTGGAACGCTGGTTTGAGCGTGCGTATCCGCGTTCCGCAAGGTTCTTTCAGGCATGACATTACTTCGTGTACATTTCCTTTTTTTCTATTTAGTTGAAGCAAATCTGACGCAATGCTATTTACACTCTGCCCACTCTTTATTCTTCTCAATCTTCATCGCGAAACCGGATTCTCTCGCTCTCTTTATACCTCTCGTTCTCTCTCTCTCTCCGCCATTCCCCCGATTCCTACTAACGCATCACCGGAGGAGAGTGTTTGTGCCCCCCTGATTGACTATGTCAAGTTCGTTAAGCCACACGCCTTTTCCAAGGCACACAGCTCTGCGATGAGCAAACAACGTCACAACACAGGTTCTGTCACGTGCTATATGCTGTGCGGTGTTGTGACGTCCAATGCGCTTCTTTCCTCCTGCAATTCGCCCCCCACGCCACCTCAACCCGCTCAGCCTCCCCCCCACAGTTGTGCCGCACATAGGCAGGGGGAGAGGGAAAGCGGACGGGAGGGGAAGGGGGGTAAAGGGGGCAGATGGGCCAAGAAAGAGGGGAGGGGCAGGGGGAGAGCGGAGAAGCACAGATCAGGGGTTTGTGCAGTAGGCAGGCGAACAGCACAGGTGGCTCAGGGAAGCGAGTGGGAGTGGGTAATGAGGGGAGGATGAGTGAGAAGTGACACACATGGGTGGCTGGTGGTGAGACGTTGGGGAGAGCGAGGCAGAGAGAGACGAAAGCCAAGGGGCACAATGGATGGATTCAGTACGTACACCCTTCCCCTTTGTCCCCCCCAACTCTCCCCTCCTTCCCTCCCTCCCACCCACCGCCCACCATTGCTCACACGGGATGTTATCCCCTTCACACTCTCTCCTTGCCTGTGCTGTGCCATCCTGCCTACCTGCCCCACCTCAGCCTGCACGCTTCTCACATGCCCTGATGCCCTCTTGCCTGCCGCTGGAGCTCACCCCATCAACCATCATCAACCCCATCAACCATCGTCAGCCCCCATTAACCATCGTCAACCCCCATCAACCATCACCTCAAGATGACGTTGAATTTTCAACAGCAATTCTCACCGGGCATCAACTGCTTTGAGAATGCTCCTTCAAGGCTGCCCTTCGGTTGATTCATCTTCTTCCTGGCACACACACAGCCTCCAATGACGTTGTTTTTGGATTCTGTATTGCACTTTAGGATAGTAGCTTGTACTGCTGCCACAGTTCATGCAGTGTCCCTAGAGCCTGTGCGTTGTATGCTCTGCGTGTAATGAGTCGTGTTTTGAGTTGACTCACAACACGATTCTGTGTTGCACTTCAGGATACCGGTAGTAGCTTGTACGGTAGTGGTGCCACAGTTCATGCAGTGCCCCTTCCCTGGAGCTCTGTGCGTTGTATGCTCTGATATAAATGAACCGTATTACAGTACCCATACTCTCCCTACATACTGCAAGGAGACAGGGTAAAGAATGAGACCAGTTAAGTCAATCAGGTAGGGTAGAGAAAGAAACAACGGCGGCATTGTAAGGAATAGACAAAGCAAGGAGGATATTCACAAGAAAAGGGCATAGGATAGGTACCAGCATGATCTTGAGCAACAACCATAACCATAGCAACATCAGAATCCAGCAACCATCAATCAATCGACTCGATATCAACAATCTCGTCCATCCCATCCCCACCATCTCCTCCAAATGCTTCTGCCGAGTGCACATCCCGAAGCCGCTTCAAAACGCAGCTGTTTTCCTCTCCAGCTGCAATACCTGTGTCTCCCACCTTCCGCTTGCCAACACTCCTCTCCGCTGCTGCATCCGCATCACCACCCCCCACTCCTCCACCAGCCCCCATTGCCCCACCACTCCCTCCCACCCCCATCCCTTCTTGATCCCCCTCGCCACCCTCACCCCCTCCGTGCTTCCCCATCTGCCCCCGTTCCCCATCCCAGGCATCGAAGTCTGCCTGGGTGAGGCCCACGGTAGCCAGCAGCTGGTGGTCCGAGGACGTGGCAAGAGGATTCACGCGCCGTTGAACCACCATCCGAGCGAGCTGGATCAGTCGCTCCGGAACTTTCTGCCTCGATTTCTCTGTGCGCGCTGCTGCCCGCTGCTGATAGCCCGAGTCGTCACAGGTGCGAGGGGAGGGCGAAGCTGCTCCCTGTTCTCCCTCCTCCTCCACCACCACCACCTCATCGTCATCCTCCTCCTCCTCTGCCTTCTCCTCCTCCACCTTCTCTTCCTCCACCTTCTCCTCCTTTCTTGCCCTCTCTCCTTCCTCCTCCTCCTTTCCCTCTTCATCGTCCTCCCGAGCAGAAATCATTTGGCCAGGCATGAACTTGTCAACGGGAATTCGAGTCTCCTCTGCTGCCTCTCCCTTCTCTTCATCCTCCTCCTCCTCATTTTCGTCACTCTCAACTTCAATTACGTCCTCGTCCTCCTCCCCTCCCTTTTCTTCCTTTTCCTCCGCTTCCCTGTCCTCATCTGAATCTGGAAGACATGAACAGAATCCAAACACCACCAGCATGACACGCATGCACAGCATGAACCTTGCCCCAAGGCTGTTGAGCCTAAGAAACATCAAAGAACACCCCGTTCCCAGGACCCACAGCAGATATCAGTACCCCTGCCTCACCAGCTCTGCGCCTTCTTGCTGATCTTCCCCGGCCGCCACGAGCCTTCCCCTCCACACCCGGTCTTCCCCCTTCGCCCTGCGCCTTTGCCCCGTGGCAGCCCCGGGCACGAGCGACCTGTGGAGGGGCGTTTCCAATAGGAGGCACGCAGCTGAAGTCGTCGTTGTAGATCCTAGCGTTGGTCATCGCATCCGGGCCATCCCTCTTGATCAACGCCGCGTCATACGCACAAGCCGCCTCGTCTTCAGTGGAAAACGCGCCAACACGCATCTGTCTGTTCCCAAGCCAAATGGATGCTACCCATTTCTGTCTTGACTTCTCCCACCCCACACCTATGAAGCGCGACGACCCGCGGCCTAACTTGTGCAGGAGGTTTTCTTTAACAATGGAGGCCTGGAATTGAAGCTCGGACATGGCATCAAGCTCTGCCTTTTGCGCATCTGTGAGGCCAAGATTGAGTTGAGCTTCAGGTCCCGTGAGCTTGTATGCCGCCCTGTAGGCAAGGAGAAGAGAGATTTGCAGGTGCGATAGGAGAGGAGAGATTCGCAGATTTTAGGCTCGGTCGGTGTGATCCCATAGGGGTGTGTTTGATGCAGGTGCGATAGGAGATGCCAGAAGCAGTTATGTATGAGCCAGCTTACTCGGTGGGAAACGGACGAGTGAAGCTCGATGCGGAAGAAAATAGAGGAAAACAAAACCCTCACCTGTCGTAGAGCCTAGCAGCCTCCGCTGCAGTGCTCCTGCACCCAATATATTGCGCTTCGCCTCCATGACTTAGCTCGACCCTCCACTGAGTTTTATTCAATCTCACTCCGATAAGCTTTGCCTTGGTAGCCAATCCTGCAATCTGTGAAGGCTGGAACTTTGGAAAGAAGTGGGGACAGAAATAGTGGTGAGGTTAAGAGTCGAAGATATGGATACCCACGATGCCTGGCTTGTTTCAGCCTAAGTTGGTTCTTTACATTTACGCATAAGCTGTTTTACAAAATTGGGAGCTTTCCCCAATTACGTGCTGTTGCGAATTTCTAGGCGTCGGAAAATTGCCTAGGGTTCAAATTTCACCTTGACGAGCTGACAGAACTTTGAATCAGCTTGTTTGGCTGCTTCCGAAAGCGACGCTGCGAGCGAATGAACTGCCCCGCCAGCAACTCCCTCTCTCATAGTTGTATCTATCTCCTGTCCCAACCAACATCCTACCCCAGATCTAGACTAGACCTAAGTCGCTCATTGGGTCTTAGTCAGTTAGTTAGTGATTGGCGACGACTAACTTGGACTGGTTTGTGGTTCGCAACATCGATTAGCAGCGGGCTAATGCTCCATGCGAGATTATTAGCAGCAGCTTACGATACAATGTGTGAAAAGCTAGGGGGAAAAAAAAGCACCGAAATTCCCTAGGGCTGCCCGACGTATGTACGCGTACACGTAAGTAAACATACGTACACGTAGGCCGTACATGTACGCGGCATGATTTGACGTAAATGACCGACCAGCCTTAACACAACGGTGATGGTGAAGAAGCTTACAAAAGAAGGGAAGATCGTGGACAGCACAATCGGATGGAGCATGGCAGGAAACAACCCGGTCGTGAAAGAAACGATGCTCAGAACATGTCGGTTGCGTGCTTCCTGTCTCACCTTCATGCGTGGTTCCGCCCACAGCTGATAGCTCCGGTCTTCAACGGTGCGAGTGGAAGGTGACGGGAGGGAGGAAGGCGGGGAGTTCTTGCTGCTATGTTTCCCTGCCTTGGTCTTGTTGGTGCGCGCTTTCGTTGAATGCTTCAATCCTGCTTCTTCTGATCCTCCCGCCCCTCCTTCGTCATCCTCCTCCTCTCCTCCCTTGTCCTCGCGTTGGTATTCTTCAGACGCGGACTCGTCATTTGAACCTGGAAGGCATTAACACAGCACAACGCACGATTATCATGATCCACACATAATGAAACTTCCCCCGTAGCTATGAAAGCTCGGATGCTTTCGCAAGGCAAGTGCTACTCGTACTGCTGCTGCTATAAGGAGCGCCATTGCAGAGAAACTGCCACAAAAAATTAAGAGCAAAAGTGAAGTACCTAAGAACATTGAAAAAACCCAATCCCCAACACATAAAGCATTTCCGTAACCCAGCCTCACCTGCTTTGCGGCGTCTGGCTGATCCGCCCCGGCTGCCATGTGTCTTCCTCTCCACACCCGCCCCCTCACCGCCACCCTGCGCCTCTGCCCTCCCGCTGCCCAGCGCACGAGCAGCCTGCAGGCGGCCGCTTCCAACAGGAGCCACGCTGCTGAAATCGCCACAGAAGAACCTGGCGTTAGTGTGGCTTCCGGGCCAAGCAGAACTGCCTCTACCAGCTTACGCAGTGGAAAACTGATCAGGAAAGCTTGAGGTGACAAACGGGATAAAAACAGTCTCTCACCTTTCAGAGAGCCCGGCAGCGTTCTCTGCAGTGCTCCTATGCCCGGAACGTATGTTTTTTCCTCCATGATTTATCTGGGCCCCCCAACGACTTCCTTTCCGTCTCGCTTCGGGATGCTCTCGTTCAGCTGCCATTCCGGCAACCCTCTCTGAAAGCTGGAACAGCGGCGACGAGGAGAGCAAACGGAATAGCGAGGAATTTAGATCGCAGGTCGGGATCGCGTCAAGACTGCCTCGAGTCGCTCTCAAACACGACGGTGACAGTAGTGACGGAGAGGATGGATGGCAGCACTTGCAGGGGAAGGATTGACCTAACGCGTCGGAAGGATTGACGAGCGTACCTATGAAACGAAAACAAGGGAGCTTCCGGCATCCACGAACACATGGAGCATGGAACTCGATCGAGAGAACACTCTGCACTATTTCCCAATCTCATTGCCTGCTCGTATGCCACCTTGTTCCTGCGAGCTCCACTCTCGTCAAGGGAGCAAGGAGACCTTCGAGGCCTCAACCCAACCGTCCCTCGCCACGTGGATCTGGATCCGATCGCCATGGAAAGTTGAACGCTCCTAACGTGCGAGACGAGAGGCATCCCTCGAGAACTTCACTACGGGTCTCTCCGAGCACTAACATCATGGCGTGGCGTTCAATGCATGGCTTTGAAGAACTCCCGTTGCAGCGTCCGTTTTAGGGCGGGTATTTTTCGTTCGTTTAAATGCGGCTCAATGAGATGTCCCACGTTCTACATCGGTCCAATCAATGTTCAGATTGATCGGGATGGGTAATGAGCCAAAATGAAATGAGAATGAGGCGCCGTTACACACACAACCGTCAACTGGCATGAGTGTTTCTAAGTACGAACCATATTCATCTTTTGGGCTGAATCTGATTCTTCCCAACAATATTCAACCAATATTATCCTGGCAGTGGGGAGGGGACTGAACCTTTATACATGCAAAGAAAAATGTGCAAAAAGTGGAATTTGAGCAAAGGATGCATATTTACAAGCAACAAGCATGGTCTAGAAGAAGGAAGTGAGTCTGGGACATTTGGAGAACATGGGGCTGTCATGCGGACTGTAAGGAAAAGGAGGGATGTGAGTGAGGGAGATTTACATCACATGCCATTCTTTGCAACGGCATGAACAGATAAGGATGCACCTGTGAGGTGGATTCACAAACATGAGCACAGAAACGTGCACACACACGCACACGTGCGCACACACAAGGATGCAAAGAGGGAGAAGGGAGGAAAGGGTGAGCACAGGGGACAGAGAGGAATAGTGAATCCTAAATGCGGTCTACTGAAAGCAGAGAGGGCACTCACAGAAAACGTTTCTCAGCGAGAAATACAACAGATGAGAAAGCCCGGGCAGTTGAAACGTGAAAGCATGTACCTAGGGCCAAAGCTGCAGGTGTAGTCATGCACGCGGCAGTGCACACAGTAGCTCTCCTCGTCGTGTATCTCCTGTGATAGGTGCACCGGCTGCTGCGCACTTGAACCGTCGCGCTGCTGCTGCTTCTGCTGAGTGGGGGAGGTGCACGCATGATCAGTCAGTCAGTCAGCCCATGAGCAGCCCGCGCCGCATACAAGACAGAAGGCAGAAAGCGAGCGAATCCCCATCGAAACGCTTTCAAGTTTATGCTACGGAACGAGATTTTGAGGCGCACAGCAGTTACACCAAACCACACGTGATGAGAGTTGGGAGAACAGGACTTCAACCCGGTTGCTTACAGGTGCTGAGGCGTTAGCAGCTAGCTCTCCTGTTCCAGTGCATCCAGCCAAGTTCCCTTTGGTCCTGCTGTGGATCTCCTGAGCCTCTTCTAACGCTGCCTTGAAATCTTGGAGTTTTTTCTGAGCGCAGGAGAGGGGGAAGATTACATGGACCAAGGGTACGTGCGTGAGTGACCACGCGTGAGTGCAGCAAGTGTTGCGGGTACCCAGAACGGGCGTCTCAGAAGCGCTTAGACTTATTTATACAATCTTTACTCCAATGTAAAGTAACATGCTCTTGCAGCAAATCTGGTAACAATCATATTTTGGCTGAAACCTAGCTACTTCACCATAGTGGTGGTGGCACATTATTTCCTTATGATGACTTATTACAGATCTATCCAATACAACTACAGAATCAGTCTAAAAGGTACAGAAGGTCAACAAGATGCTGTTACAATACAAATGTAGCACGGGCAGTGTGGCAGGCATGCCATGGCGGCTTGATGAAGCGGTGTGGCATCATGATGACAATGGTGGTGTCCTGACCTCCTCTCCTCTTCCCCCCCAGCACAGGAATCTTCTTTCTTTGCCTTGAGCTGTGGCCACTTCCTTCCAACTGCTACATAACCTGCCATTGGCATGATGCATCACCGCATGCCACACCACAAGAATCTTTCTTTGCTTGATCCGTTAGTGCATGCCACGCCATGGCATGCACAAATATGCTGGAAAGACACATACAGCACCACGATGTATAATGATATGGCAAACCATGCCATATCATTCCACACCATGCCACACCACATCATTCCACTCCATGCCACACCAATGCACACCACCCCATGCCGCAAAAGCACAGCACAACACCATACCACACCACCTACCTTATTACCGTTGCCTTCTATTCTCTCCTCCTCATCTCACGACTCACTCTGACCAACTCACCACCACTCTCACCGCAATTACCACACACAGGCTGCAACCACTCACTCTCACCTCAAACTCACTAATCACACCACTTGATGCCACAGCCCTTACCTATACCCCCACCACCCACTCACTACTCTCACAGGTCACTCTCACCACTCCCACAAACACTCTCCACAGTCACTCACCACAACTCACTCTCGAAACTCACTCAAACCACTCTCTACCCAGCCTCACTCTCACCAACCACTCTCACCACTCTCACCACGCTCACCAACCACTCTCACCACTCAACACACCACAGGATTTCAACCCCACTTCTTCATCCTTCCCTCATTCAATTCACGTGTTCAAGCGCCTTCTCTTTCACTCTCGCACCCTAAAGGTTTCAGCCTACTCCCCTTCCACTCAACCGCCTGGTGGTTTCATTCCCCAGTTATCAATTTTCTTCTCACCCACCCCCAACCCCTCTCTTAATCACCTGCTCTGCCGAAGTGTTTCAGACTCCTCCTCTTCCACTATTCACCTCAAGAGGTTTCAGCCCTCTCCCCTGGTGTTTTCAGCCCTCTCCCCTGGTGTTTTCAGCCCTCTCCCCTGGTGTTTCCAGGCCCCCTTTTCTTCCACTCACCCACCATATGTGCTTCAGCCCCCTTCCACTCAACCAACCACATACCTTGTTCGAAATGACACTGGGCAATTCAATGTCTCTTCCTTCACTCAAGTTACCCTCGACTGTTAGATAACCCACCCAAACAATCCACCCTTCCCTCCCACTCAAGCACCCGTTCTCTCAACCACAGTTCAACCCAACCACCCCAACCCAACCACCCAACACCCACCCCCTCAAAATACCCACCCACTCATCCATTCCCAACCCCAGCACCCATATAACCCACACAACCAACCCCCAACCATACACCTACCCACCTATCCAGAAAAAACCATCCAAGCCACACACCCAACCGCCAACCACCCGCCCAGAAGTGCCAATGCAGACCAAACACCCACCCCCCAACCATGCACCGACTCACGTACCCAGAATCACCCATCCACCCACGCACAAATACCCACCCACCCACAGAATCCCACCCACCCTCAGCCACACAGCCAACCACAACCGACAGCACCTATCTACACACCCAACAACCTGCCCTTACCCACCCATAACCACCGTACCTCACCCCTCGCCCACATCCTACTCACTCACCCACTCAAGGGGACTCAGCCCCTTTCCCCTCTCTCACCCACCCTAGGGGACTCAGCGCCTTTCCCCTCCCTCACCCACCCGAGGGGACTCTGCCCCTTTCCCCTCTCTCACCCGCCCTAGGGGGCTCAGTCCCTTTCCCCTCACTCACCCACCCTAGGGGACTCAGCCCCTTTCCCCTCTCTCACCCACCCAAGGGGATTAAGGCCCCTTCTCTCTCACTCACCCACCCAAGGGGATTCAGCCCCTTCTTTCACCCACCCCCACACTCACCTACCAGCAGCAGGAGCAGCAGCAAGCAGCAGTAGGAGCAGCAGAGGAGCAGTAGGAAACAGTAACCCCAGAGGCAGTGACTTATGAAGCGAGGTGTGGTGGTGGAAAATTGCTTCCAGCCCAAGACTCAAATCCCACCCCTGACGTAGCCAGAGCTGACGCGAACCAGAGCCGCCGGCCGGTCGGCTCTGACGGTGTCCATTAGGCCTTGAACGCCAGATCGGTTACTTGAGCACCGAGTGCCGTGCCGCACAAATTCCACCCACCACACCCCACCACCACAAGACACAACCCCAGGAGATGCTGCCCCTAAGGCAGTGAACTCCCCGCTTGCTCCCATGCTCCCCACCCACCCACCCACCCCACACTTCACCCCCATGCCTCCTTACCTCTACTTACCTGTACTTACCTGAGCCGTGCAGAGCGCCATGATGCTGAGGCTGCTGGGAAGGAGGGGGGGTGATTAGGAGGCGGGGGGGGGCAGGACTCCTTTGTGATCCAGGCAGGGTGCTGCTGGGAGGGAAGGGAGGGAAGGGAGGGAAGGGAGGGAGAAGGGAGAGGGGGGGAGGTGAGTAAGAGGGTGCACTTCACTCTCCCGTCCTTGCTCCACTGCTCCCACCTTCTGCCTGCAGGAGGGAAAGAGAGAGCGGAGGGGATCAGCTTACCATACCTCACCTGTAACCATACCACACCTGTAACCATACCACACCTGTTACCATACCTCACCTGCAGCTATATCTACCCTAGTCTGCCCTCTTGTCTCCCAGCCCCCATTGCTGCTACTGCTGATGCTGCTGCTGCCGCTTCTGCTGCTGCTACTGCTGCTTCTGGTCTGCTTCTCTGCTTCCCCTGCTGCTGCTACTGCTGCTGCCGGTCTGCTGCAGCCTTGGACGCACTGGGAGGGAAGGGATAGGGAGTGAGGTAGGGGAGCAAGGGAGACCAGTGAGAATGGGACGAAGAGCAGGCAGCAGCGTGAAGACAGGGAGAGGGCAAGAAACGAGAGCGAGCACGGGAAAAAGACCGGCAGCAGCATGAGTGCACGAGGGAAAAGAGGCTCACCTTGTTCCAGACGACCCCATCCCGATACTCTCCCATTCCATCCCAGCCGAGTGGAGTGCTGCCCCCCTCCCTGCACGGCCACAGGGGAGGGGCGTGAGGGAGCGTCGGTGTTGACCCCACACCCCTCCCCGCCACCTGCAACGCGCACACACAGAGCTAGTCAGAGCGCGGTGGTGGGAGCAAGTTGAATGGGAGACTGTGACTTGAAATCCAGCGCAAGGGAAGGGAGGAGGAGCCACTGGTGGAGGCACGGCCACAAGCTGCAGACCCAAGGGCACCTGAAAAAGAACCTGAGGGGTGTACCTGCACCTGAAGGGGTTACCTGCACCTGAAGGGGTTACCTGCACTACACCTAAGGGGGTTACCTGAAGTGAGGGGGTCTGAGGCATGCAAATCGTGCTCAACCAGTGGCA